GAAAGCAAAAGGAAAGAAAAGGAACACTACTCCCCCTAATCCCACGTGGCCTCTGCAGTGCCATTCATGCTCGCCTGAAAATCAATACGCTTATATTTCTCAAGGTCCCATTCCTCAAGGTCACTCCTGTCAGCTTTATATGGTTCTATTTCCCTCTCCTCGAATATAAATGTTTGTTCATGATCGATGAACCAACTACACAATCAGCCCTGTAAAAAAAGTAATAATAATTTGGGACAACGAAGCCATACCATTTGTCCTCCACTTCATCATAAATGATATTTCGAAGAGCTGGGTCCGCAGCATCAATGGGGTAAGATTGAAATTCACTGCCATAGGAAGTTAACCCAAGTGTAAAACGTTAAATTGGGTTATCTATACCTGAAATCTCTTAAAAAAGCTTTTCGTATTTTCTCCTTTTTTGATTCCTCGAAATTCCAGAAATCAGACAGCACAACCCCAGGGCATTTCTCCATAACCAATATAGCCATATAACCTCCGGGTATAGGCATATTTGGATCCTGGGAGTAGACCAAGCAATGAAAAAGACGCGGGACCACAGAACAACCCTTTTCAGTAAAATACTGTAACGTTGATATTTCTGTAGCTGTGGGATAGGCCAGCCCCTGTGCATAAGGTTTAGATGAATGCTTGGTAGGCACCCTATGAAATAAATAATGTTAGAATTTTATTCCAAAGGGGAGTTTCATTCTCCGAAGGGTATCGTACTGCATCCGAACTTTCACGATGGCCTCCATGCCAACATGCGGACCTATAATTTGCCGACATAGATATACTGCTTGAGCTTCTGCGTATAATTCACCGGAGTTACTATACGCATGAAATTCGACTGATTTTTCGCTGATTTTTTCACTGATTCTCCACTTGCTTCCATCTGGACATTTCAGTGTAAAGTTATCAAACGTGTTGCCTATCCAAGGTGACATAATTCGACATGTATTGTGGAAAGTGTGAAAAAGGGTGTATTAAGGTATAAAGTAGATGACACCCATCAAGAGATAAAGCGCATATTGAAGTCGTCAAAGCAAAGTAAGACAGAGGAAAAGGCGGGCGGCAAGGGAATAAATGAAATAAATAGACAGCAACGGCAAGCCGCTGTTGTTGTTGCCAGTGATGCTTTTCTTAGCCAGCCAGTCAGAGCGCGACTTTTGAAGTTGGATTACGTAAAAAACCAGAACCTTACTAACGCCGGCGCTTAACGGAATGAACTTTCTTCGACTTCAAACCTCGTCCTTGCTCTAGGGAGATGGCAGAGGACAGCAGAGGATGGGACTGCTACTCCCTACTACTGCTTCCATTGTTGTAGCAGAAGTTCTCTAGGGATGGGATTTACTCTATGATTTTCAAATGAGAATAGCTACATCTATTTGAATTTGTAGTCGAATGTGTTGAGAAAGTAGGACGGAATGCTCCCGTCAGATCAGGCTCTACTTTCATGCCGCCGATAATAGAAACACCCCTGGATGATACCCATAGAACACTAGTGAGGGCCAATTTCATGTGATTCAATGCAATATTCCCCGCCAAGTTGCTATAGATAGGAGCATGTCTTTACCAACATATATTGACTGGCTCTCCGTTCCTCTATAATTTTTAAGCGCCTGCCATGGAGGCCAGGATCATACCTACGACGCATCTCCCGAGTCATCAACCCATTATATCCAACTATTACGCGCTGGCTCCAGTGACTATCTGGAATCCTGGTCTGAGTCGCATGTTGCCCGAAGTATTATTCCATACTTCAATGCCACATACTTCACCTAGCTTCTATGGATAGGAACATGCCTTTTACCAACATATACTGACTGGTTCTCCATTTCTGCTATTAATTTTTCTAGGCGCCTATCACGAAAGCCAGGATTATGTCTACAGTGCATCTCTGGAATTATGGATTGGTCATGTCCAATTATTACGCGCTGGCCCTAACGACTATATGAAATCCTGGTTGGGGCTGCTCGTTGCTCAAAGTTATAAATAAGAGGTGAAATTCACCTCACTGTATCAATCACTTCATCAATTTGCTACTCCAATTCACTGCTCCTATTGACTGCTCCAAGTCAGCGCTCCAATCCAGGCCCTATTCTTTCCGCCGCCATACTTCTACCTAATCAGCCAAGTTGTGACACTACCGCGCATTATACTCGCATCTACCGGCTACCCTCGTTATGGATTACCATGATAGTTACACCATTCTCGCATCTCCAGTTCCTAGCATCCTTACCCGCGAAGGTTATCAGACAACGACTAATGCTTTCCATCAAACCTATTACGTGGGCCCAAGAAAAATGTGGGCTCTATCTAGTGAAGTGTGGAGTGTAATCAATAAAATTACGAACAGAAAGCCACTCTCCTACACCAACTACGAAGTGGCACAATGTTCCTCTTGTCTAGACCATGAGCATTACCTTTGCGGCGATGAAAAATCAGTATGTGGGAGATTTGCGCAAAATGTACTAGGACCAGTGACGGCTGTTGCATTTGCAAACGGAGTTAAAGCCCGATTTGGCGACTTCAAGGTCTGTGCCGAGTCACAAGGCGAGATTGATGTTCCGGATTTCGTTGCAGTACACTGCACAGCCAAGAACCTCCACGCTCTTGAGCAACTAGACTCCAGCGAGGTCCCATATTTGAAGTTTGTTGGAGAGGCAAAAACACCTTGGAGGCATGATCTGGGCAAAATTCACCATGATTTTACAACCAGAAAGAAATCAACCATAGATCGTGCGCTAGGTATGTTTTTATCAGCTGCTATCCATGAAGACGAAAGTGTGCTAATTCAGATATATGAAGGACAAATTGCGAAGTATATGTACGATCATAAAATGCGTTATGGTTTCCTTACAACCTACGACGAAACCATCTTCCTAAAACAAGAGTGCTTCGAGGGGTCTACATGGGGCCTCCTTATTTCTTCTCCAATTCCATTCGACACAAGTGCAAATTGGGAGACTCGTACTGTCTCTCTTCGTCAATGCTTATACTACCTTATGTGTGTTACCGAAGAACCCAAAAATCGCATTGCGAATAACACTACTCCGCGTCATAAGTGGATTAGTGACAAGTCTCCGAAAGACTTAACCCAACCCCAACTTCATACCCCCGTTAGCCAGAAACCTCAAGCCCCAACTGAGCTCCTACAGCATCTATCTCAGTCACCTGAGCTTAAAACTGACCTTTCTTCTCTCACCGACCGGATCAAGCTCCACCACATCCCTAGCTCAGGTATATATTCAGCCATTCTTCAATTCAAGCACGAGGATATCAGAACCGAGGGGAACAGATCCTATGTTCGAGTTGGAGATCAATGGATACAAGCGGAAATAATAACTTACGGCCAGAGCCATAGATCTAAGGATGCCGAATCTAGCAGTCTAGGCCATGGATTTAGCTCCTCTCCCTCACCCTCTGCGCGTCTCAGAGCACAAGAATATGGCGGCAACACTCCATCAAAGCATCGGAAAGAAAAGGTTTCTTTGATGGAGAGGATGCAAAACCCTAAACCTTTCCAGTATACCGACTCCAATTATGAGTCAGGCCCTACTTTATCTGTAGATACCCCTACGCGACTACCCAGTCAGCCACAGGGCCACGGAATTCCAGCCCCATCCTTGCCCCATTACCCAGTACCGCCAGCTAGACAATACCGGTCCTTGTCAAGAGATACCTCCGGGATGCGAGGAACATTCCATTCGCCTTATGCACATTTTTCTACTGAGCAATCTCCGCCTAGAGATCTCTCACAGACAAGGGAGATGACCTTACCGCACCGGCCACCACCATTTGGTCACCATCAATCTTTATCCAGAGATCCATCCATGGAACCAGGACAAGGAGGATCTCCAGACAGACGGGTCGAGAGGCACGACTCGGGCTCCAGGGATAAAGGCAAAGGGAAAGCCAAAGAGCGCCTCGATAGTACTGGAGGGTACAATCTTAGGTCTCGTAGCGACAAGGGGGAGAGCAGCAAAGGCAGGGGCAAAGATAAGGACGATGATGAAAAACGGGGCAGGTTTCCTGGACCATTTTCCAGAAAGCGCTGAGAGGATGTTAAGGATATAACTACTCTCTTTGCCGCCAACCAGCAGGGCTCTCCTTTTTGGCCCAGCAGTTTAACAGGTGAGTATGGGCTGGTCCTTACTCGAGTGAGGTTGGTTGTCCTTCTTTTTTTTTTTTTTTTTTTTTCATTTGCTTTCCTTGATTGTTCGTTTGCTTTTCGTCTCTTTCTTCTATGTTCCTTCTTCTACGCACAGAACTTCGAAACGGGGGCGCAGAGCAAGATGTCGTGGCGGCGGCACTGGCAGCTGGGAGGTGCCCGTAAGAGAGGGCTTTGTGTTCCGAATGGAATCAGGGGATTCTGTTCAACGTTTCGATGGCTCAAGAAAAAA